ACCTGCTTATTACTGAAATTCATATTGTGGTGTACTGGATCCGTTGCTGGGCAACGGCTGATAAAAAAAGAGACAGCAGCAATTGCTGTGCAACAGCTTCGTAAATACGTAAGAATACTGGAGCTGTTGCTAGCAGCGGCATGCGTGCAACAGTGGAAATGTTGGAAGCGGTGTTTTGTATGGGTCCTCTCCGAGGCTATATTACTCGATCCACCGAGATCAGTTTAGTTAGTCAGTGTGGTGGCGGGTTCGAATACCTCCACCGTAGCCCTGCCAGTTGTAGGAGATGAAAACGGAACTCTGTGCCTGGGGATATAACTGGGCCACCCTGTCACTGGGTGACATAAGTACAGGGATCTGGTGCTCCAGGTTGGGGCAGTCTCGAATCTGAGAGAGTAGGATATGGTCATGAGTCCCGTGGGACTCGGATCCGAGAATGACCGCGCTGGCGAGGACCAGCAGCAGTTGCAAAACACAGACCCACCCTTTCGTCAAAGAGGACTATAAACGCAAGGGTTCAGTTGGAAAAGAAACCTTGCCGGAAACCTCCTATCCGGGCCGACGTTCCGAAGTCGAACTCTGAAGTACTAAGCAAGAACTTTAACTATTATAACGTAAATTCAGTCCGATTTTTTAAGACAACCATTGTTACATCGACAAATGATCAGCCGTAAAATTGTCTCTGTGCTTAATTCAGCGTCATTCCATCGAGACTTATGAAGAGGTGGAGGTACAGACCCATATGCTCTTGATGGAGATTAGTTGTTACCCTCATACCCCGGTCACTACACCCACTGGAGAATGCCCCCAAAGTACTTAATGTATTGCGTAGGTTCCAGAGCAGTTCTCAGAACGGCGATGAAGAAAAATATCCCTCCGCCACCCGAGCTTCTAACCGCTATCCTCCTTCTGCCCAGCCCGCAGCATAGTTTGAATACAGCCTGAGAAATCCCGGATTCTAAACAGACGCTAAATATTTTAAATGCTTTAATATTCATTACTTCTATTTTCCCTTTTATCTTTCGTAAGCGTATCTAACCAAGTTCATAAAGGGCAAAGATAGAATACAGGCCATGAAACTTGAGATGCTGGTCTCTGTGACGTAGTGTTCAGGAACAAGACACGCAACGAAGAACACGACGCGGAGGAGCATAACACAACAACCACAATGAGTACACGAATGAATAACCACACTACACACAAAGAACTTCACACACATGTATTCTAATAGAAAATTCACACATGTTACAGACACACAGACATAACAGCGGGACCGCATATGCATAAGCAACAAGTGAAAGCAGCGATTTCCTCATTAAACAAATTTTAACACCGGATGATGGCCATGATGACCGAAACATATTGTGCATTAAAAAAAAAAAGAAAACTTTTAAACTTGTAAAGGTAATAAGTTTTGAACTTTTATCTTCTCGTCTGCTGTCTAAAAATATAAAAATTAGAATATACAAAAGTATAATTTTGCTTGTGGTTCTGTATGGGTGTGAAACTTGGTTCCTGACAATAAGGGCTGAGGGCGTTCGAGAACATGGTATTGAGGAAAATATTTGGACTAAAGAGATATGAAGTGACAGAAGATTGGAGAAAACTACATAATGAGGAGCTCCAAATTAAAATCATCAAGTCAAGGAGGATGAGATGGGCGGGGAATGTAGAACAAATGGGTGAGAAGAGGAATGCATATAGGATACTTGTCCGAAAGCCGGAAGGAAAGAGGCCAGACGAAGACGTAGGTGGGTGGACGATATTAAAATGTATCTTTGAGAGATAGGATGGGGTGGTATGGATTGGATTCATTTGGTTCAGGATAGGGATTATTGGAGGGCTCGTATGAATATGGTAATGAACCTTCAGGTTCCATAAAATGTTGGGAAGTTCTTGAGTAGCTGCACAATTGGCGGCTTCTCCAGAAGGGCTCAGCTCCATGAGTGAAAGGTGATAAGGTTTGTGGAACGTACGTTGCACGTAAGGCGGTGAATGATCGACGCTTTTAGTGAAAAGTGCAGCAGAATTCTACAATACAATATCAGTGTTTACTAAGCCCAATATAATCTGCCGCGTGTAGGGGTGTGTATACCACCGGGGTGTTTTATTGGATATTGTACTGGCCACTTACACACAAAACTCGTAATTACACTTAATTGGTGCGGCATCGCTTTGTCTCAACGGTCGATTAGCTTGCTTTCCACAATTATGAATTCAACAACACGTACAATTCAAACCCATCCGAAAGTTGCAGTCATTAATTTCTCAAAAATCTCAAACTCGGAGAAAGGGGGGTTATGGGATTAATAATAAAAAAAAAAACTCATGTACTTTCTAGGATCTGAGATTCTCACACCAGTGGTTATGAATGGTTCTATAATCTGGGACGTAACGCCGTGTAGTTCGTTGAAGGTCAACGGCAGTTTCGGAGAAATATATCACCTCCATCTTCAGGGCCGAAGAATATGCCAAACAAAAAGCCAGATCGAAAACAGATGGCAAACTGAATCACCCGTCACCTGTTTTCATGCTGGTTTCTTCCTTGGCTTATTCTTCGACTCTGAAGACGGAGGCGACATGTTCCTTCGAAACGTCACTAGACTTACAACGGAATCCATGCTGTTGTTTCCAAGTGATCGGAATCTTCGTTTAGTTAATTTAGAGGAAATTTTTGTCCGGTGCTGGTAATGTAAAAGTTCCGAGTCAGTTATCGAATCCCCAGTTAAGATGGGTATTACTACGTAAAAAATTGTTACGCATGCGTGAGTTGTTATGACTGCATTATACATTTGATCACCTCCCATAAGGAAACTTCTTTGGACTAGAAGTACTGGGTTTCTGGACATTTTCCATCGTCCGGTATTCTAGAGAATAAAAAATACGATGTAAGATTTGAGGCTTTCACGGCGGTGACTATGAAGAAAGCAGTCTTCTGGGATTTGGCACCGTGTATATGTGGTGTTAAAAGACGTTTCGGAGGAAGCAGACTCTGCTTTTACCGTTTCTCACGGTCTCTTCGCTTGCATATTTCTTATATTTTTTCTTCTACCCTGAAGATGGAGGCGATACGTTCCTCCGAAACGTCTGTTAACACAACATATACACGGTGCCAAATTCCAGAAGACTTCTTTCTTAAAAAAATACGATGTTTCGGAAACTAGATCTGTGTCTGTCCTCAGGTGAAGGAGGGAGAAGACACCTACTCAGTCAAAGTTCTAACCTCAATCACTGGACAATCAGATTTTACACAGCTATTTAATCACCCGAGAAAAGTCTAATTCTGAGGATGATAACAAGAAAATATACAATAACAATTATTATAATGCACGCATATTCGTGGAACTAGGATAGTAATGGAGGTAGAAATTTGTGCTACGAACCTAGCCAACGAAACCAAGTGCATGAGCAACAATGAATAGAAATTGTGAAGACATGTAGTATCTCCAAAGACCCAGTAATTCTGTGTGTTATACACCTTCGTTAGAGCCCTTTAGAATCTACTTGCTTCGTCTGGTTCTCAGCGGATTCGTAATCTAATTTACATGTCTTCTCCTCAGCATCTGCGGAGTAGGCGAGAAATGACAGCACGTATTTCCCAAATTTAGGCCCTCAAATATGTGAATCCTTGCATAAACTTTTATATTAAGTCGGATATATATATATATTAGATGCATGTAACGTATTTGCTTCATTGGCATTTCGAGTGCTTGTTAAGCTTCAAAGTTATTCTCACGTATAAACTGACTTATGAATTAATATAATTGGCGAACGTAATGACACTCGAATTTGAGTAGGGTGAGTATCACTGTTCGTTAAAATACTTACAAAATTTGTAAATTATATCGAAACCTGATTCAGGATGAAATTGAGAGGAAATTGAACTCGGGTAATGCTTGCTACCATTCAGTCCAGAACATTTTGTCTTCTCGTCTGTTGTCCAAAAACATAAAAATTAAAATATACAAAGCTATAATTTTGCCTGTGGTTCTGTATGGGTGTGAAACTTGGTCTCTGACATTAAGGGAGGAACATAGACTGAGGGTGTTTGAGAACAGGGTGTTGAGGAGAATATTTGGACCGAAGAGGGATGAAGTGACAGGAGGTTGGAGAAAACTGCATAATGAGGAGCTTCATAATTTATACTTTTCTCCGAGTATAATTAGAATGATCAAGTCAAGGAGGATGATATGGGCCGGGCATGTAGCACGAATGAGGGAGACGAGGAATGCATATAGGATATTGGTGGGAAAGCCAGAAGGAAAGAGACCACTGGGAAGACCAAGGTGTAGGTTGGTGGACAATATCAAAATGGATCTTAGAGAATAGGATGGGATAGTATGGATTGAATTGACCTGGCTCAGGATAGGGACCAGTGGAGGGCTCTTGTGAACACGGTGATGAACCTTCCGGTTCCATATTTGCTGGGAAATTCTTGAGTAGCTCAAAATTGGCTGCCCCTCCAGAAGGGCTCAGCTCCATGAGTAAGTAAGTAAGTACGTACAATTTTTAAATTATTCTTTTTGGATTCTGCACCAAAATTTTTGATAATATGCCTGTAGTGCGGCTTTATAAATATCACTAACATTGTCTCCATTCTGTAAATATATCAATGTCAAGTGTACTGCATGGGAAATTAGGCAGAAAATAACGTGGGGCCTGAGGTTCTTACACCGGTGGTTATGAAGACTACCGTTTTCTGGGCTATAACGCCGTGTAAACTGTTGAAATTCAACCAACGTTTATGAGGAACACAACGCCTGCCTCTGCTTGTCACATGATTTCACGCTGGTTTCTTGCTTGGTTTATTCTTCTACCCTGAAGATTGAGGCGATATATTCATCCGAACGTCGGTTGACTTTTATAGTACTCTATTGCGAAAATTTCTAGAGATCTCTTTAACCTGAACATTGTGAAAGTAAAGTTCGCGAACTCATCGCGGTAAAAGTGTTACACATCTGATTACTGAATATCACTGTAGTTGTGTTAAAAATACTCACATTGGGAAGCTATGCGCCGATGCCAGCGCCTAGTCCACCCCTCAACACAATTTTGGAACAGGTTTTGTGGAATGGCCTTTAGAGCTCTCGTTGTATTACTCCTGTTGTCATCAATGTCATCAAAATGCCTTCCTTTCTTTCATCTGCTGGAACAGAAAGAAGTCATTGGGGGCTAGATACGGTGAATACGGAGAGAGTTCCAGCACAGTTATCTGTTTACTAACTAAAAACTCCCTCACAGACAGTGCCATGTGAGCAGGCGCATTGTCGTGATGCAAGACACCAAAACACACTCAGACAATAACAGATGCCACTCAGAAAGAGACTGCCATAGATCAACAACAACACAACTGTGAAACGCTGATATGCTAACGTCATCAAACCATACTGAGGTTTCTGTCCACTGCTGCCACGGGAAGCATAGGGTACCGAGTTCGCGAGCTTTATTGTCATATCACGTATTTCAGACCTTGCTTGAATGCTAAGTGCACCGTTAGCAACGAGCATCATCTGGTCTGTAAGTTGAAATACGCTAGAAGCCAAGACAACCATAGTAAACCAGAGCTGAAGCTTCCAAGGACGGGATTCTAATCAAGGCCTACAGATTTCATTACACGTCCACAATTCAGTGGTATTTTTAATCACTTTTCAATCTTCTGTGCTAATTAGAGTAACTGATCAAGGTTACACGATAAATACGCACAGTAAAGTAGATTTACATTGAAAACCAACTTACTGCATGCAGACGTCATCTCTGCTTTAATCAATCATTATTTCTGCCCGTCCTACAGATTTCTATAATTAACAAATATTAAAGGTGAGCCGGGATAGCGCAGTCGGTATAGCGACTGGCTACGGGCTGGACGACTGAGAGGTCGGAGTTCGAGTACCGGTTGGGTCAAGAATTTTCTCTTCTCCATGACGTTCAGGCCGGCTCTGGGGTCCACACAACCTCCTATACATTGGGTACCGGGGGTAAAGCGGCCGGGGCGTGAAGTTCACCACTCACCTCCAACTAGTGCCGAGGTCAATAAATTATGGATCAATAAATCCCCTCCCCCATACATCTTCATGGCGTAGTGCTCAATGAGTTAAGCACAGGGATAACTTTACCTTTTACATTTTAACACTTGTTAAAGTCGGGGGGTGTTATGGAGCGTATTGAGGGTGGAACAGCCGCACAGTACACGTTCCTTCTGCAGTGGGTGGAGGCCTATTAGTTGGTGGCGTATCTTGGCTAAACGGTTCCCGAAGGCTGTGACTGAGGGGCAGTTGAACGGGTGGCCTATGGTTCCTGGGCACCTGTGTCTGGTGCAGCTGTCGCGGTGTAACGTTTCTGTTGTGTAACATCCTCCAAGCAATGTCTCTGTTTGCAGAGGATGGGGTGGGTGACACACTGCCACCCACAAGGGTGCGCCCACTTGCCAGTGGCATTCCCCATTGACAGTGAATAGAAAGAACTTTCTGTATATCGTATTTCTGGGTATGGGGGTGAAGCCAATTTGCCGTTTGGTTGTTTGATAGCGAAACTAGGGTAGGCTGAAGTTAGAGGATCGATCTGTGGTGGTATGCGTGGGTTGTCATGGTGAAAAAAGGCATCTGCTCTGTTCAAGTTTGCTGCTAGTCTAGAGATCATCGGTATGGTACAGCGGCCTGTGTTCTGTATGCTTCAAGTAACAATTCTCTATGAGGTCACCTACGTAACACACTTGTAATGAGGTTCGAGCTTCGTCAGAAATCAGGGTGCGGTCAGAGATGTGTGGGGTCAGGAGGGTGTAGTTATTAATTTGTTGAGAAAGTGGTGTTCGTTTTTCAATATAATTTCCTCTCTCCTTAGCTGCTAGGGTGACATTCTAGTCTATCCAGAAGAATACGTTCCAGGCGTTTTCATCTATCGTTGCGTGCGTCGTATTTATTGGCACAATTAT